TATATATATATATATATATATATATATATATATATATATCTGTATTATAGAGTCATTGAAACCATCTTTTATCTCCTGAAATGCATATTGAGTGGGGAATAATATACATTGTGAGGATGATCTGCCCTGCTCAGTGCTTGATGTTGAGATGGGGTTTTCTGAAAAATTGCTTACGCATTATACATATATATGTATTTTACTGTACAGGCTGCACTTCAGTAAAGAAAAAAAACAAACAACAACATCAGGAATGAGTCTGCCTTCATCCTGACTTGCACCTGCTGTCTTTATTCATGGTAACTCATTGCACAGTCTATCAATGTAGGACATTTTGCAGATGATAGAAAATTCCTCTTCAGTCCATGCACCTTTCTGGTATTCTCCATTTAAGAATCTCTTTTGCCTTTAATGGGTGAACTTTTGCTTCCCCACTCCCAAGTTGCTGAAGAAGTCTATGTAGAATTTCACTTGATAGGAATTTGGACTGGGTTATTTCCCTGGAAGTGTAGTGCAGTACACTTCCTACATTTAGAAAAAACTAATCTTGGTCATTATACCCTATAGCTGGATGGATTTTGTGCTTTCCTCGATATGTTGGTGTGGGATGATTCCTTCCTGTACTTGTTTATTGTGGTAAGTATTTCATATATCTCTCCAACACGTACATATTTTGCCAACCACCCAACACTTTATCACCATGCAGAAGGTTCTTTTCAAAGTACCTTTTTCTGTACCACCTTTACTGAGGAAAAAGCATTCCCTACACGAGAAGGATGTGGTCTTGTGATGCCCAACTAGTCCACCCCCACTTCAGCAGGTGACAAGCTTCATGGATTTTCCCTTTCTAGTATTAAGATTTCAGAAAGTAGTTCATCTAAAGGTAAGGTTTTCAGATAGATACTCTATCTGAAATACATTTCAGATAAAGAAAGTCTTAACTTCAGAAATGCTATTCACCTCTCCACAGAAGCTCCCACCCTTTCTCCTCACTTCTGGGATGTTTATTTTGCTTCATTAGGAATGAGCTTTTGTTGAAACACTAATGCTTGCATTGTTTACTGCAGGTGGAGGATGTGTCACCCTCTTATTGGTAGAGATCTGTAGTCTAATGTTGATTACATCAAATGCTTATGCAGCCCATGTTAATGTTTGTTGGTGTGAAGGCTCTATTCAAGGCACGTGACATTATCAAAAATCTTTTTGATAAATGTTTATTCTTTGGAGAGGTGAATATTTATCTGAAATACATATTCAGGTGAGGAAAAAGCCACGTGATTTACTTTATAATTTTTAATGTTGAAAAATTTCTAAAATTTTGTTTAGAGACATTGTTCTGAAAAACTATTTGAAATATTTCCTATCTCCTAGAACTTTCATTTTTCTACTGCTGCTCAAAAAGTTTCATTTGTGTGTGTCTATGTATGTATAAACACAGTCAGTTTTAACATGGTTGATAGTCACTGACATATTTCTTTTGACTCTTATTTTGCCAATTGCATAGTCATTACCTTTGGAAAACATAAAAAACATAGGTAAAACTGACAGATTTATCTGTGAACTATGACCTGACCTTTTAAAATAGGAGCAATATTTTTGCTAACAATATTTTCTTCGTCAAGATAAATTTGTATCTAATAAATATTAGCTTCTTTTCAGTAAATAGGTTTTTGTTTCACTTATTTATGTTGTTTGACTACAGTATAATTAACAATAAATAAGGATTGGAATTAACAGAACATTTTGTTATTGCCTACCTTACTCTCTAAACCTAACTAGGCTTATCTGATGTATTGTCATAGAAAACTCTACACAAAAACATTTTCAGGAATGAATATAACATCTAAAAAATTATATGAAATTCTCAGATCTCTGATTTATTCCTAAGTCTTATACTCTTTCTTTTTTTTAATTTTCAACTAAATTCCATTGGTTGTTTTCTGCAGGAAGTATATCTTATCACTTTTCTACAAAACCATAGATTACTTCTCATACCACTTTATTGACTGTAAATAGTTTCTAATCTGTTCTATCCAATTGTATTTAAATTTTGCTCGTAGCTATTTTTAAAGCTGCTCTTCATTAGTAGTTGTTCAAATTGCATGCTGTGAGAAGAGAGGCAGTACTAATAAAATCAGAAAAAAGAAGGAAAACCACATGAGAAACAACCTTGAAGAATTATATCCCCAAGGGATGATAGTTTTTTGGCAAATATAAAGCTGTGGTTTGGGATAAAAATCAATAAGTGTATTGCTTGTAGATGAGAGTTCTTGGAGGATTTGTAGATATATAGGTTTGAAATCTTTTGTCTTTGTGAATTACACTAAATAAATGTTACAAAATGACAAAATATCAATTATACAATAGTTTTGAGTAAAAAATTGTTGAAATAGAGTTAAATTATTACTTTTACTTAGATTTTAAAGTTTTATATGTGGGTGTGCTCTTGACACTGGAAATATACTTGCTGATCAGGATAGGATTAATCAGAAAGAACAGGTTGTATGATGGACGGGTTGGTGGAGGAGTAGCAATGCTAGTTGACTAGATACTTTCCCTATGGTTGTACCAGTAACTAAACATCTGGAGACCATTGTCACCTGTGTCTGCAGTGTTATTACTACCACACTATCTTATATTTACCTGTCATCAGAAGAAGTTGTTCATAAAGCAGACCTTGGTGATCATATCGAGTGGTTGCTTTCTTCCATCATCATCTGGGAGACTTAAATGGACATAGTCCACTCTTAGGTGATGGGAAGAGGGGTCAAATCTATGAAGCGTTTGCTCTTGGATCAAATCTCTCTCTCTCCCTTTTCAGTACTGGTGAATATAACCATTTCATGTCCTGAGTCAGACATTTACTGCCATTGATTTCTCCATTTGTCCACATTCTCTCTCTTTCCTGTCTTCTTGGACACCAAGATGTGTGCCAAAAGAATCACACTTTTTTTTTGGCCAGATTATCCTTTTTTTTTTCCCCCACTAAAACCAACCATTCACTATGGTGACACTCAATAGAGGGAAGGTGACCGACCTGGTGAAATATTAAAACAATACATATTATAGTTGGTTTATCTGATAACAAGCAAGTTTTTTCTGTAAGGTATTTTCTGTTTCCAAATTTTAAAAGTGAAAATGGATAAGAAATGTAGTCCATTTTGATTCATTTATTTTTCATAAGTAAGAAACACTTAACTGTGGGTTCATCATTGACTTATTATATTTATTATCATTTGATGCCATTTAAAATACTTAAGGTTACTAACAAAATGTTTGTGTAACATTCTGTTTTTACTATTTTGTGCATTTATATCGTTTACTGATTCTCTTTTTTATGCATTTTTTTATTTTATAATGAGAAATAACTGATTCTTCTTCTTGGTTTTACAGATAATTTATAATGCTAGAAATGTTTGGGAATATATTTGGCCACACAAAACCATCATGTGCAAATACTTCTTTACCAGTTGATAAGGAAGGAAACAAAGCACAGACAGTAAATAGTTTTGTTCTTTTGGGTCAAGAGATGTCATTAGGAAATACAACTATTACAGAAAGAGACAGTGTGGATCTGTCACTTCCATACTCTGTACAGGTAAGCTGATATTCCACTTAGTCTCATGGAGGTATTATACACAGTAATGTATGTATATAGTAGAAAGAACTGCTTAATAATGAACATCCTCCTGGCAGAACAGTGGTAAGTTTACAGACTTATAATGCTAAAATACGGGGTTTGATTCTCTATGGTGAACACAGCAGATAGCCCAATGTAGCTTTGCTCTAAAACAAACAAACAAACAAACATAGTATTGAACATTACAACTACTGAAGTGATGAATAATAATAATAGGTTTCTTGTATGTTCTTGTATGAACTTTACATTATCAGCAAATTTCTGTAATAAAATCAAATAACAAAGATTGCAATTAACCAAGCATTTGTAATGAACAGAATTGAAAAGCAAGACCGCAAGACGGAAATTAAATGGGTAAAACAATAAATTAACTATGTCTGTGTTTTAGTTAATCTACTGTTTTAAAGAATTATATTTTATCTTTTAGTTATAATACTTTTGTTTGTTCTATTTTATTTTATTATAAGTGTTTACTGTATTTGCTTGTGTAGATGATCCCATGTATAAGACAGCCCTGGATTTTTTTGAACAAATTATGTGTGTTTCTTTGAGGTTTAGTGTATAGTTCAACCTCTATTGTCAACCAAGTCTAGAATGTTACTTTTGTAAAGAAATTCTTAGAATTTATTTTTAAACTATGCTATCTGCATTGTGAGGTAATCAGTACAACCACAAGTGTGGTTTTTTATGCTCTTCAAATGCTACAGACAGCTCAATGCACAAACATGTATTAAACAACTTTTCAAAGTTTTTATCACAGTTGAATTCCTTTTCTGTTACAAAAAATACTAAACCTTAAGATATAGTGATCTACTATAAAGACATGTTTACAAAATTAGTGTACACTACAGAAACTAACTTTTTTGATATAATATTTGCAATATTTTAGTATGACAGATGAGATTAATACATTTCAAATCAAAAATATCCTGATTAATTGTAACTAGCATGTGAGATAAATAACTTATAGTCATGATGAATCGAGACAAATGATGCAATTACAAGTATGGATAAAAACCATATAACCCGAGTGCTTTTGAAAGGTGACCTTTCTTCTTCAGGGGCAAAGTGGGAATGGTGGTGTAATTGAATGAGTGATAAATATAAAGGGAGTTTAGTGATGTCATTAAGGTCATCCAGTTTTCCAGGAAATGTTTAGTCTATTTCTCTATGTACTTTTGTAAGCATCTCAATTTCGGTACAGAGATTATACTGACCTATCACTTCTTGTTTGGCACTACTATTGTCACTAATATTTTTAGTTTGTGCTGTCTTCCCCCATTTTTTTACATTTCATACAAAGTGGAGGTACATTTTTCCTACTTCACTTTACCAGTTTTAAGCGATAAATTAGCTTTATTGTTCTTCAAAATTTTTTGTGTTATCACCAAATGTTTTCATTTAACTCGAGCACAATTACCCAGGCTTCTGGTGGTGGTACTCAACTAAGGAATTGTTAAGTTTAATACATTGGGAGATTGATCATTATATGAGTTGACCTTTGTCAGACCTCGAGTTTGGGGGCCCAAACATTTGGAATACGGTCCATCGACTTTGGACGGATAAACTGTTATACTGTTATAGCATCTTGAATAATTTTGCTCTAAATATTATTACCTGTAGTGCTTTACTTTGAGAGATGGTGTTGGCATGCCTCGCCCACCACAGATTTTGGTTCATTTTGTCTTAGCTTACCATCAGGCAGATTGTTGTTCGTTTTCTTGCTTCTCTGCACTTTGAATCTCTGTTGCCTGTATGGGGGGCAGAATCTTTTAATCCTATCCCTTTTTCCCTAGATAAGTTTCCAGCCTTCATTGTTCCCTATTGCTTCTCTTATTGGTATTAATCATCATACACCTTCTTTTCGAGGTGTTCCAACTATTTCTTGGGGCTTTTTGTGGGATACCTTCCTCTTCCTTAATCCCAAGTTGGGAAATTGGCTTTATTGACTCTTTCCCTACACATGTGGCTTTTTTGCTTTTGGGATCTTCTGGGGTGAGACACTGTCTTTTACCAAGTTCGTTTACCTTCCACATCTAATCAGGACTTATGGATGGCTCTTTTTCTTCACTGGTCCATTTTTTTTTGTGGGGGGTGTTACTCCTGTGGCATTAGCATCATGTGGTATATCTGTGTTGCTACATTCAATATTTTTTCTTTTTTGGTTGCTCGTTTGTCTCTTTAGTCATTGCATTCTTTATTTATGTTCCATGTATGGCACCTTCCTGTCATTTACCTGTACTACATCTCTAGTTCCTCCATTAGGTATGTATTCTCGATGCAGATTTGAGTTCTATGATTGATTTGTCCCATCTCAATCACTTCTGGTTTAAATAAATAACACAAGGTAATTTCAAACATACAGAAATGTTTTTCTCTCTTCTCACACTTTTAACATCAGCTCACTTCTTGGTTTTCTCTCTCTTTTTTACAATGTTGTCTTTTATCACATTTTGGTGGGCCATTTCTCCAGAACAGGATGCCCACTGTTAACATTGTGTATTCTTATGCCCATGTTCCTATTTTTCATCCCTTGTGGTGCTGTCTTAGGTTTGCTCAACATGGTGTTTGTTACCAGTTTTGTGCCTTGCCCTTTGAGCTTCTTTTAGATCTGTATGTCTTTATCTTCAGTTCCTTACCCACTTACTTTGGCTGTCGATGTGTTCTGACAGGATTGGGATCTGTTTCTACTTTTATTTCTCATTCATCCTATTCGTAATCTACCCTGGGTAATTTCGTTCATCCTTGCCACTCTGTGTCATGTCTTTCAGATTGCTCCTTCCTGGCCAACACTGCCTGGTTTTCTCAACTGCTTCAGCTTGATCTGTTCTTTTTGTTCTAGATTGATTTTTTTTTCCCTATCTTCCACTTTGATAGCACGTGTGGTATGTTCTTCCTTTTCTTTGTTTTCATTTCATTTCCCACCATTATTCCTGATCAGGTCTGGATAGCTTTTTGTGTCCTGCACATGCTCTGAGTTGCTTCATTGCCTTCAAGGCTTCTTTCTGTTGGTTCTCTTTCCTACTGTTTCATTCCCTGGCACCACTCTCTGTTTGTGACTTTTTCTTTCCTCCTTTACTCTTTTGATTCAGTTTTTGATTTGATTGGCATTTTATTCCTTGTCTCCTTTTTCCCATAATCAATTCCTAGTGTCTTTGCTCTGATCAGGCACCTTCCCTTTTACTTGCATCTTGCCCCCATTGTACATTGGAGGTACTTCTTCCATTGAGCACTGGGACTACACCTCATACTCTTATCTCCCATATCTGCTTTGGGTAGCTGCTTCTTCCTTGTCAGAGTACCGTCTTCCATCTGTCACCATCCTTCACTTTTCTGTAAGACTGTGATTGGATTTGTTATCTTTTGTATATATACCTCTTATTTTTCATCAGCATGTCCCATCTTTTTTCTATATGGATCCCACTCTGTGGTGAGTAGTGCCTGTCCAGGTATACTTAAAATAGTCAAATCTGCAATGTAAAGCCATGTAAACAATTATAAATTCCATGATCACTAAATGCACACTGTTGAGATGGGGTGTTCCACAAGATCACTCGTAGGTTTTACTCGTGATATATTTGCTTCATTCATATGGCCATTTACAGACTGTACTAACCCATGGACTTCATGGGTAAAGCAGAAGGGGATAGTTGCCCATCCTCCCCATTTCTTAGATTGAATAAAGCAGGTGTGGTCTGCTTTTCAAAATAAGGTTTTCATGGTCTCTCATTGCAGTGTCTCCAGTGTTGATGTTCCTCCTGACTCCAGCGCATTTTCTCCCCACCCCCTTTTTTTCTGGTGGATTATGGGAGTCCTTACTACTTTCCAGTTCCCATCTGCTAGGGTGGTGGACCATGGAAACATCCTCCTGAATGTGATAGTGCTATATGATACAAACAATAATGAATCCACTCAGTTGAGAATAGGGCAGTGGTGTTCTGCAGATGTAGATGACGAACTTTCCTCCAATCTAAAGCTCCATCTCTGAAAAGGTCTATCCAAGAGGATGTTGTAGATTTGGAGTGAGCCATCAAAATTGCAGTTTAATCCTTCAGTTGGGATCCCTCATCCTACCCCCACATGGTTATTGATTCCAAGTGGCTGGGTTTTGGATTCAGAGCTGGACCAACCAACATAAGACCTCATACATGTATTATAGGCATTTCTATTATCTCACTCAATTGGACTTGCGGGTCATAGTGGATGGTCATACAGGTTACTACAGTTTCTCCTCTTGTGCTGTCCCTTGAAGATTTTTATATACCAAGAATGTTACTGCGCTTGGGGTGGTTCCCATCTGATAGGTTTTGAGTGGGATATTTTACAATATGGAGACATCTTTATTATTCTGATCATTTGGATGTCGAGCTCCTAGGCTGGTTAAACATTTTTTCACTTTGCTATCATGTATCCTGTTCATAGATCGGCAGGTATATTTCCCTCTGGTTTACTGAAATTGAGATGAAAATCATTTGATCATCTTTCATATCCCACCAGATGGCTGGGTTTTGGATTGCAGTTGACTTGCTGCCAGTATGATCCTTTTTCCTTCCCCACACATGGATGTTGGTTCCCGGTGGCTGGGTTTTGGATTGTAGTTGACTTGCTGATGGTATGATCCACATTCTATCCCCACATGGATGTCAGTTTCCAGTGGCTGGCTTTTGGATGCAGTTGACTTGCCTTGTACAGTCCATCACACCCTAGCACTCTACATCTTTGGGCACATCCTTTTTCCTCTCACCCACATTACTGTCATCTATTGGATTGAGATTCATATATCTGGTGGTTTGGATCACTGTCCAACAAATGTTCTCTCCATTTTGGATATGCTCCTTCCTTTTTCTGCTCATGTCTGTATCACATCTTTCCACACTGGGCATAGAGCATACCTGGCACAGAAGTGGTGCGGTCTCCAGTGTATGATCCTCTACTGTGAGGATCCCCTTCTTTGGACACTTTCGAAGGATGCTTCTTTCTTTCCCTCACATCACTTCCTCCACCTGTTCAGTTTGGGATTCTAGCCATTTATGTGAGCATAGGTAATGTACCTTATCAGAAGTCATAGTTTTCCTATACTGAAAATATATTTCTCATAGGTATTTACTTTCTCTCACACTCCCCCCCCCCCTCTCCACTGAATAATGGTGCTACCTTTTTCTGCCAAAAATTGGAATTGATAGTTTGGTAGAATCGAATAGAGGGAGCCACTTGTGTTAGGAGTGGATGTCACCCTCCTATTGGTGGAGGGTTGTTGCATGATGATTTGCATGTGAGATGCAGTTGGACCACATTGATCATGGGGTACTTGGGAGTTCAAGGCTTGTGGCATGCAAAAACATTTGTTTGCATATAGAGGGCAGCACTGACCGAGAATAGCTGTTTATATGAGAAGAGTTAAGTACCTATCAGAAATACATTTTCAGTACAGGAAAATTATAACTTTGAACTTTAAAGCTTTTCATTTATTTAGATTGTATGTAATTTTAGTATAAACACATGGTCCAAAAATTTGTTAGGATTGCCTTTTTCTAGTTCTGTTGTTTCTGTGTTCTCTATAGTAGGTAATGTTTATTTTATTTATAAAATTTGTCCACTTCCAGTTTTGTAAGATGCTTTGTTGCACATACATGTTTTTCATAGAATATGAAAGTTTCATGATGCATTTTCTTTTTTTGCTAAAAGTTTTAGGAGAATTGCTGACCTTGCATACGATTTTGATTTCAACTTCATTTTACGTTAAATCATGTATTGGAATAGATGTCAGTACAGTGTATGCACATGTTGCTTTTCAACACTGTACTGACCAGTCATGCTATAAATTCAGTTTCTTATTAAGCTTTTAGGTTTGCTCTTTACCTTTTTTGGTCATGTATTTTGTGTCCGTCTTGATTGTTGAATTTATCAAATCAACAGACTAAGTTCACATTCTTGACTTCTGTTAAATCAACTGCATGAGAATGAAGGATACCTGCAGTGAAATTTGAAGGCTTTCTTCATAATCTGATACACAGACAATCTTTCAATATCTGTCATACTAAGGACATTTATACTTATTGTTATACATGGTATGTCTTGATCACTACAGAGTGATAGAGGATCAAAACTTCCTCTTTCCCTGGATATGATTTCTGTGCTTTTTAGTGTGTATTGATATAATTCTGATTGTTTGTTAGCCAGTAAGAACACTGCACTAGCATATAAATAATTATATCAAATCTTTTTTTCTTGTATCAATGATCATTTATCCTATAAGCAATATTGCTTGTACTAATTTCATTTATAATACCTGTAAAAATCAGTACACCACTGGAAGTGGAGTAGAAAATGCAGGCAGGATGAGGACCAAGTGATATTTGTATGCTTTCAACAACAGACCTAATAACTACCAATGTGGCTGCCAGTAAGGGAACTTAGAACACTAGCAGGATGTGTGTATAGTTGGTAGTAAGTAAAGTAACTTTATATTCAGAGTACAATTGTTGTTTCAATGGAACATCCATCCTGGTTATAGAAGCCCAAAACATCATTGTCTTTTCTTTGAACAGGCAGTTTTAGTCCAATAAAGTTCTCAAATCTACCAGGTTACAATCATTAGGCACAGTTGCTGCTGAAGAAGAATTTTGCCATACCTTTTTGAAAACAGGCTGTATCTGACAAACCACACAAACACGTGTGTGTGTAAATGTATATGTTTGCAACATGTGAGAAAAATAATATGGTTTCACATTGAGTAATATTTATATCAACTATAAAAAAAAAATCTCACAAACCAATAAGTGATATTATATTAATATGATTAGTAAATTATAACATTATTAATAAAACATGTTCTGCAACCTTACACTTTCCCTCTGCATATTTTCACACCTTAACCATCAAAAATTATTTCATCACACATTGATATCTCTACATGATCACATTTTAAGTAATAGTTTTACAAAGTATTAAACTAATTTTCTTGACAAGTTAAACCTTAAATATTTCATGAATTCTTAAACTTGGTAATTCTATCGCATAAACAACTTACTTCATTTTCTTGTAAACTGTGTTAAAATATTTTTGTTCAGGAAGAAATACATTACTGCATGCACAATTTATTAAATGTTACAAATAAAGTTGTTAGGTATGGCAGTGAGAAAGTGGTCTGTGTAAACTACACCATAATGCTCTTCAGGCAGAAAAAGATGTGATGTTAGTCAAATCTGTGCAATGATTACTTGTTAGTTCTGTTTTCATCTTGCATGTTTAGTTTTCACAGCTGATTGTAGGGCCATTTATAAACTTAGTTGTGTTTCTCACTGAATGTATGTAGTTAACTCAATAGTTTTTTTTAATTATAATAACACATAAATAGGTGAATTTTTCAGGATATAATTATGATAGAGGATTCAACTGCAAAAATTGCATTTGATTGGAACTAATAGTACCATGTTAAATTTATTTTTAGAGAAAACCCTTTATCACTTGTATAACTTATGAAAAAAATTTAAGTGAATGAAACCATTGTATCATACTGAAATGAATGAAGATAAACAAACATAATTTATGATTGCAGCCTATTTATTTGCTTGAAAAAAACTAAACTTAAAAGAAACAAATTTTTTAGATTAAATGTGTCTAAACATGTATATGTTTTACCAATTTAAGAATTATGACTAAATATATTTACCAAGAAAACAAATAATGCAAGATAAGATGTAACTAAGGTGAGAGAACCATTAGCAAACATTGCATAACTTTAACTTTTTGTAGCTTCTATTCCTGTCAATTTGCAGGATGTCCATAGATTATTGAACCACATTCTTAATCTAATAAAATATGAAATACATCAGATAAACATTGATGATTTGCAGCTTGTGGGAAACTGACGTCTGAGGTTTTTACCCAGTTGTTTAAATGGAGATATATAAAAAACATGATGCCATTTATGTGGGCAAAGATTGATTATCACCTGAACATCCTTTGAGCCATGAATAGTGCTCATGTTGAGGTATAATAATGGTTGCAGTGGCCATAGACAAGACCCAATATGCTAGTCCCTATTGTACAGCAAACCACAATTGTTTATTTTGTATAATTTTCATTATATTTAATTAATGAAGTTGTTCAATAATTTATCACACCATATACAGTAAGATATTACATGAACATCTAGTTCAAAATACAACCATGCAAATTTTTACACACTAAAAATGATTTAAGAACGTGTTTAATTAAATCTGTCGTGTATAAATATGTCAAAAATATGCTGGCATTCTTGAGTAATGCGTGCCTTTTATATTTTCTGTATTTAACACAAATGAAAAGGAGGATTTTGTTCTAGTTTCAAGAGAGGTTCATGTGTTTGAAGCTCAGCTTTTATGTTTTTGGAAGATGAATTACAGCAAACATTTTCAACCTTACTTACCTGGAATATAGGCATTCAAAACAGCATATGAATGCTATATTAATATATAAATTGTATTTTAGTACAATTATTTATAAACTTATAATCTTATGGTGTGTGACATCAGTACAGTTAAAGTACTCATACTACATATTGACACAAACCTTATTGCAAATTTTACAAGGCTGAAAATCTTTGTTTTTACTGTTTTAGTTCTTTCATTTTGTATTTATCTAGTTTGTGTTTTGTGTGTGTGTTTTAGGAGTCTTTTCAGTATTTAAGAATTTATAGTTAGTTCTATGGGGTAGATATATGTATATGCCTTTGTTAGTAATCTTTTTAAAAGTGTCTTATTATTCTGTTGATAAACAGTAAGCATTTATTGTCAAAAATTAACATTCATTCCTTTTTAGTATTACATTATAAGTTACACATTCTTTAAAACTCAAAATTCACTTGCAATTAGTTAACAGACAAAACATTTAAAGTAGAAGTCGAATTGAAAATTTATGAAGAAAGTAACAACCTAATTTCAGAAAGTGCCAATTTAACTACTCAAGTATGAAAAAAAAGAAAGAAAAACATGAGAGTTGGCATAATTATATTTTATATCATACAATTTGTCTTGCTGATGAACCTCGTACTTTAAATGAAAATGATAAACTTACAGGACAGTGAAAGATATTGTTGCAGCTTTTGAAAACTTGAGAAAGTTATTAGTTGAACATCATTCCCATAAGAGTTTCTTAACTAAAGTAATCCATTTTTGTAAGACAGCTATTCCCAGTCGAGGATGACATTTATGAGACTAATATTTGCTTTACTAACACTTAATCTTCTGTGCTGTATTAAGTAGGATACCCACATTGACAGCTACTATGACCAGTGCATTCTGGGAAACAAAATTTTCAGGACTCGTCCATAACCAATAAAATTGCCATGGCTGTAAAATGTTCCAGATAACAAAACTTTTTGGATGTGTTTCTGGCATTGACATGTGAGCAAGGCCAACATCATGCATCCAGCCACATTCAATGGGCATTGTAGTTTTGTGACTTGTAACAGAATCAGATGTGAAGTTGTGTGCTCTAACCTCATATTATGCTTAGAAGCTAACCACCATATAAGCAATTGGATATCTGCACAATTCTTGTATATTATTCACTGATGCATTCATCAGTATAAATCAGAAGGCTATCTTGTAGTACACTCCTTGTTGCTGGTTTTTCTTATTATATGTGTTTATATTTAATTAAACTTTACACATCTGTAACCCAGTGTTTCTGTCGTGAATATTGATCAGGTGAATATCTTATGATGTTTGATGTAATTGTAATTTTTTCTTACAGACAAGCTAATATTTCAGGGAACCTTGCTGGTGGTAGCATTCTTTTATCTACATATTATGCATTTCTTACCTCAAAAGTACAGTCAGACATTTACCGATTTACTCTTGGCTGCATGTATCCAGTATTTCTGATACCCATAGAGTAATTATGGAATCTGATGTATTGTCTGAGCATCTATTCAATATGAGATTCACATATATGTATATGGCAGATTTTGTTAAACAAGACCGATGTCTGTAGGTTTACTTTCTTCTTAGAATTCTTCTCAAGAAGTCGATAAGCCGTCTTAACGTTGTTAGAACAACGGGTAAAAGTTGTAGCTAGTGAAGAGTTGGCCGACGCGTTTCGAATGCACTCTGCATCCATTATCTAGGCTGAATGTTGTGTGAATTGTAATTACTGTTGGTGGATATTTATTGATATGGGTAAGCAGGTGGTGGTATCTAGCTCATGGAAGGCGTTAATTGGTGGAGTGTTCTAACAACGTTAAGACGGCTTATCGACTTCGTGAGAAGAATTCTAAGAAGAAAGTAAACCTACAGACATCGGTCTTGTTTAACAAAATCTGCCTAGTATCAAATTGTAGATTATAATTAAAATTTTAGTATTATTCATTAGTTAATATTATTTCAAAAGTAAATATTAAAAAGAAACACCTGTATATTGATTTTTATGTCACGTGGTGGTATGTTGAATGCAGCATTGGTTCAAATTAAATGTTTGTGATGTCCAAATACAAAGTCTATAGTTTCGTACGAATTAGGAGCTCAAATTACTGATATTGACAAGCTAGAATATAAAATAAGAACTTCCTGTCTTTTGTATTTCCTGAGATATCACTACATTTACTGAATCAAATACAGTGGCCCTGCCCACCTCTTTCTATTTTTGGAAACACTTATGTACACTTACTTCTGTCTATGACATGTGAATAACCAATCGAAAGTTTAGAATGTCTCCCTAGTGGATTTCACACCTTTTTTTTAAATATTCAGGAGGCAAACTTTCTTTTTATGCTAGATTCCAAGTGGTAAGATAAGACTTTGGTGAGCTCAAAATTTCATATATTTTTAGACCCAGCTTAGTTTTAAGCTTGATAAATTATAGTGGAATTCTATGGTATTGATATACTAATTTATTATTTTTGGTTATTTAAAAATGTATATATAAAACCTAAAAAAAATATTTTATTTCATGTCCTCCACCTAATAAATTTGATAAGGCTTAGCAACCTATGGCAAGTAGCAAATGAGTACAAAGTTTGTAACTAGAAGAGATAATTGTTTGCTATACTTATTTATTTACTGTTCTGTGTTTTAAGAAAAATAAGTTTAAGAACATATTTGTAAATAATAATAATGTATTATTAACTGAAATGTATCTGTATTTTACAAAATACTAGTCCACTAAAACACAGCCAAGACAGGTCACTTTGTAAAGGCCAGTTTTATACTCTTGGATACAGTCAGGAACGTCAAGAGCCAGCACGGGCCTGAGGTAAACATCCTTGCCGGGCCCCCTTTCTCTCTCTCTCTTTTTTAACATTTTCAATAATTTATTAAAAAGAAGATCCTAAATTAGGACAGACAAAATCATAGCAGCA